ATCAAATTTATATTTTTTTTATTTTGTGTCTGAAGTGAGAAATTTATGGAGATAAATGTTCGGCGTGCAACTCTGAAAGTCTAACATAGTAAGTGTAGCACTTGCAGCTGATGTGTCTGACATGGAAAAACTGGTTTGTGCTCATTTTTTTGGTTTTGAACACATGTAGAGTTTGTCAGACAGGTTACTACTGAAGGCCTAACAGATAGAAGATTTCTAAAGCTTCCAAATAATATCAACCTGAAAATGACATGGATATAATTTGGTTGCATGTTTTTATTCTTGGCTATAAAGTCCCTCTAAGCCTGTATGTCTCTGTTTACATCCCTACACAAAAAAGCTCATGCATGTTTCATAATAACACCCTGGCTCAATTTGTCAGGGTGTGCATTACACCCATAACACCAAACTGCATTAAAAAAACACGGAAGAGCAGCCTGACAGAACAACTCTGTGCCTGTAGGTGTAACAGAAATGCACATTATGAGTCTCTTCTCTTTTTTTTGAACAGTTTTCTTATTAACTTTCTATTTAATGGACAGAAATTTGAAATTAGTTTAATCATCTAAGCAAAGAATTGTGCTTAAAACAAAAAAATCGTGTGTAAAATTGTTATGACCTTCATTGACTGGTTATCTGACATTAATCTTTCTTTGGAATTGGTAAACATATCGGTGACATAATAGTGTCTGGTGTTTCTCCTACAGTCAGCAGTGCAACTGACTTAGGACCAAAATGCCACCAAGAACTTGAAACTTAGAAATGACCCATCTTTCCCATGAGACTGAACCTGTCCCCCCAATTTACAGCATGTGAGAAAACGCATAAAATAATAATAGTTTCAAGAGGGAAAAAAAATGCCTGGCAGGCTGTGTAATCAACTTGCTTTCCTGTGGCACTCACGTGGATAATTTATGACATGCTGCATTAAACTGAGTCACAAGGCTTGTCCACAGTGCTAGGACTTCCCTTTGTTCACACACTGAGAGTCAGGACTCCTGCTGTTAAATTCACGTGGGTTGAATTTTTACCTCGCTTGGCAGAATATACCCTTTCTGACATTTAATTCTGTTGCAGGAAACTTAGCAATAATTTCTTTTCTGTTGAATTTTTTTCCTGTGTATAGAGTATTTTGGTTTCAACTAGGAAAACTATGCAGCTGGCACCAAATGAAGACTATAGCTTATCTTTAATCAGAATTACAACTAGACGATCAGAAATATTATATGCAATATAATTGTGGTCTAAAATATAAGTATGATATCTGAGCCTATAAAGGTTACATCAAACACTTCCTTTATCCAGAGCCTGTGCCGTTTATATTAAAAGAAACAGTCCAAACCAGCATCCGTAACCAAAGTAGGATTAGAATGTGTTGGGCCACAATGCTAAAATTGATATTCCCTATGAAAAATCATTAACCAATAAAACTATGGATCCAGCTTTTCTTCATGGGATTGTATGAATATTCAAGTAGTTCTCACCTAAAGGCAGCTGGCTTTCTACCGTCTCACTTTTTCTGTGAGGACTAATGCCAGCCTCCACCCTCTCTCTCTCTCTCTCTCTGTGTGCATTTGTCCATCTATCCATCCATCTCTCTCAAGCTCTCTCTTTTTCCCCCCTTTCTCTTTCTCATCTGAGGCCTATCACTTACGGTGTTTGCCTGTAACTTGAACTCTCATATTCAACCATCTGTAACGCTGCAATAACCTTTACACCCTGAGCTGCTGCTCTGCGATCAGATGAGTTCATTAATTAATAGTGGTGAAGTGTAGGGCAAGTGTATTAGTAACTGACCCCGAGTCAGATGGTAACCAGAGTCCAGCTGGAACAAGGTGGACCAACCCCAGCCTCCAAATTCACAACAAGCCAGGGACTACCTGATCGAGTAACGAGACACCAAGGCACTCACGTATGTGCATAAAACCCTGAGACAGTCGTACTCATGCTGGTTGTCAGGGTGGCAGATAAGGTACTGAGAAGAGAAGAAGAAATAATTGCTTTATAGTTGAAAACTGTTTGTGGTTTGTTTAGCTTTTGGGGTTTTTTTTCCCCTTTTTTTTTTCAATGACAGAATAATGTGTTAACAGATTGATCAATTCACCAAGATGGCTGACACATTATGGATTTCTAAAGACGAGCCTCGGATAAGCTGTTGATCTGGTTGCTTCAGGAAAAATGGACCGCTATTGCATTAATGAAATAATTGTTATGGGTGGAACCAAAAGTCTTTCCTGGGTATGAAGATTTTTTTTCACACATCACATCACAACTTGGCAACTTGGCTTGTTCATGTGCCTTTAAATGATATGAATACTAAATGGCAGTAGCTCAGACTCCAGTGCTGGATGATCCACAAGAAAGTACTACGCATTTATTGCTGTGTTAGGAAACCACATATCTGCCTGATGTTAGAGCCTTCAGGATTTATTTTATTTATTCTCTTGGTCATTTCTGAATCTGCCGGCATGCATGGACTACCTTGCTCATCTCTAGGTCATTGTTTTGGTAATCCAGCTGATGTTAACACTGACCCTGCACCGTCTATGGAGGCAAACAACTCCAGGCAAAGCAGTAATAACCATGAACTTCCAGCAGCAGATCCAGTTATATCTCAGCCAGAAGCCCTACCAGACAGCCCACAGGACTTTCAGCACAAACACCTTCAGAGGGCTGGCAGCTGTACATCTGCCCGTTCCTCCAGGACCAGAAAAATAAATGGTACCAACCCAAACTCTGTCTGCCACATGCAGGATAAAGATGATGACCCATACTTTGAGTCACCTCCACTGTCCCGTAGCCCGTCTGAGCACTCGGACATTGACATCCTGGAGTCTGAGTGTAGTCCAGAGCTGGAGCTCAAATATACTCACATTCCCAGACCCTCCATTGTTATCAGACATAGTGAGGTAAGAATTTTGTGGCCAATAAGATAGCCACCCTCACAAACGCCTTGTTACTCATAGGTCAGACAATGCATGTTGAAAATATATAACCACGCACACAAACACACATATAAGTACTTGAAGAAGTACCTGAAGTCGTCTTTGTGGCATCTTCTGCTGCAGCTGTCACCAGGATCATATTTTTCCATGATGACACACAGACACACACACAGACACACACATTCTCATTGTCAAATAAGACTAGGCCTAGCGTGATTGTTATGATTTTGAGTTTGGTTTTTTGGTGTTTTGCTGCTTTGTTGCTTTTTTTTTTTTCTTTGGTGTTGGGTTGTTGCATTGTTGTAATCAATTATATAACCACAAGGGGGCAGAGAACCCAAATAAAACTGTTCATTCATCCTGTGTGGGTTTGCAAAGAGTAATCTAGCTCAATCAAACTAACGCCTTTCTTATCAGGAGAAACTAAAGTTTCAGTTTTTATTAATCAGGTTAAAAAAAACCTGAAATCCCCCCCACACACACACCCACACAGACACACATGTACACACACATATTTTGCCACCAGCTGTAGATAATGTGTCAGTGAAACGTGTCCGGAGCTAACTTCCAATTTGATCTCTGTAGTTTAAGTTCCTCAAACACATACATCTGTGCCGTGCTATGAGTGTGTGTGTGTGTACATGCATCTTTTTGCATTTTTAAAACTGATATTTATACAGTGTTTAGACTTTCTGCACAAGGTTTTCCATCTTGTTCCAAGACGAGGAGTGCAAATTATGTAAGCTGTGGCCTTAGGCTCTGATCAATAATGCCAAATAGCATTGGAAACTCCGGAAGGAAGAGGGGTGGTGTATTAATAAGAATCCTAAAATGTAAACTGCCAACTGCATGGCCTGTCTGTGAGTCTTTGAAGATCATTTTTGCCATTATTTCTATTAAGTTTAAGTTATGTTACACAAATCTTATGGCAAGTTATTGTGATACAAAAGGTTGGTATGAGGAATCTTCTCCTTTAGACACCAAAGCACTGAGTTGACTATAACCATTATTCACCAGATCAAATAAAAGCACTTTTTGATTTTGTGTAGCCTCGAAATTCAACTGTAGTAGAACTGCACAGTAGCCAAAAGTACAATGCATGTTTGGATTTGAAGGTTGTGAATGCACACAGGAATCCCTATGTTATGGTGAATCAGAGTGAGAATGAGAAAGCTTTTTTATTTCGGCATGTAATTCGCATTCTCTGTGGCAAAAGGAAAGCGGTTACACAATATTTACTTTCACAAGTCTGCATAACACCCACCTTACTTCCTCCATCTTGACAACAGGTTCATGCTCACCGGACCATAGGCATGATCTGATCATATGCACCACTATTATACTATATTACTCCATCAGGTTAACAACTAACTACTTACACTAAGAAGGCTTTCTGAATCCTACCATCAAGGTATGAAATAAAGTCCCCATTGTTGTAGAGTTCAAGGAGTGGACTGTAACAATATGACCTTTTATGACTGCAATGAGGAT